CCACTGATCTTCATCGGCTTACGTCAACGTTTCATTGGTTTCGCCTTTGTCGGAGTCTGAAAGTTGAAGTCATAAGGATCCGTATTTTCAGAAGTCACAGCTAAAGCAATTCGCAAGAAAAACCTGTCAAAACATCAAACTTAGAGTAACCAGATACTGATAGAAGTTAGCAAACAAGGTGCCATGGACAGACCACCTATACCACTACTGTACCTCAGCTCTTTTTATATGTGCCCTCGTGACCCGACCTCAAATTCACAGAGGGTTGATAAGGCGCTAACTCGTTGGTGATATCAATGCACTCCTTTCGGTTCATTTTTGTATTTTTGGCTGTGATCCAAAAGCTTTAACGTCTTACGCGCCAGGATTTCGGGTTCACGCGATTAGATCTTTACTCCAATCTGTTGAATATCGTTATTATAGCGTACTAAGCGACGCTTTCCTTAGGATGTAGAAGTCTTACATTTCATTAGGTCGTCTAAGTGTTCTTTCATGCGGCTGCAGAGTGGGCGTCCGACCTCTCCGATGTATGTGCCCACATGATATACATGTATTAAGATAAATCACTCCTAAACTATACAATATCCCTTTCTACTAAATGGCAAACTGTGTACATGGAGTCAAGCAGATGGATCGTACACTCAATTATGGACCAATGCCGCATCAAATTGGGGGCTATATATCGACCACCCTAAGAACATCTTAAACCCGCTTGATGTACGCAGCGCTGCACCTGTTGCTAATTTCGTCGGTGACAAATGGTAAACAGAATGGAATTTTGTTTGTAGCTTTCACTAAGCTACGGGTACTTCTTGCTAATATAACCTGTCGAACTTACGATTTCTTGGGCTAAAGCTACTAAACAAGTACGTTCTTGGCTCCCCGATGACCCGGACAGCTCGTACATGTTTTCGACGTTATTCCGCTTGAATGTGCGGAAAGATAATGTACTAAGATGTTTTTTTGCTGCTAGGCTTCCGGTACCATTTGTTTTTGTATTCCCCGTTTGACAAATATATTTGCGTATTGGGAAAGCAAGATAGTTTTGAGCTGGTTTTCCCTTGGCAAACTTCATGTGAGAACTGCCCATTAAGGATTCCAAAGCGGTTATCAATTTTCATTTGAATGGGACATACATTCGACTACACTTGACGCGGCAACGGAGGTGGCGAGCTTTTCCATATGAGATGGTTATGATCAAATAAATATCTCTAAGAGTTTAGAACTATTGTTACCCAATAGACTTACTACACACCCAGTCAAGCAAGCGCATAATGTGCTCGATTCAAAATAGTTCCTTACTCAGGTAGAGGGGGGTATATAGATCGCTTTAAATGCGTTCCTTAAACCGTCTAATCATCTACAACAAGTGATTAGCGACTCCAAATTCTGAACAGAATATAAAGCTATTTCTATTGGGGTAAAATCAAAAGGTTGGATATTTGGAACATTTTTGGCTTTTGAAGAACACGATATTGTTATAAAGTCAAGATGATAATCAGTGGCATACGATTAGAGTGCTTACAATCAGTTCTGGAGCAAGCTGCAGATTTAACAAAAAAAGATTTTTTACAGGATCCTGCCAGAAGAGTTGAAGATGCGCTTACCTGCATTGGATGGCCGCTTATACAGGTTGTTGCTCTATTTAATGTAAAAATAAAAAAGACTTGTGTTTTTCTCTGCAGGTCGGCCTGTCAACGATCGTGGCAGTTTTGCCACCACTTTTGAAACCATCTTATATGGTGCTGGTCTTCTTTAAAACAGTTATCGTTGTCTGCTCATTGGGCATGTTCCATGGTCTCGTCGTTATGCCAGCCATTCTGACTGCAGTCGTCAGACGCAAAGATGACAGTTGGTAACTTCTCTCAAATTTTCTTGAAAAGCTTATTCCAAGCGTTTTCAAGAAAATTTTTGGCTATCCATGCT